TACTAGCTAACACATCCTCCTTACAAAGGTGCTTCGTAGGTGAAACCTGTTCAAATTAGCTCCACTGCATTTCTTGAGGCTCTTTATTTAAGGTATAGGTCACATTAGTGTGTGTATACCCCACCTCCCTGCTCTCCTTCCCTGTGAGTACCCCAGCGGAATCTTCTCCCTTGCACCACACTGCTGGAACATTCCAGTGTAAACTCTCCAAGTCTTCCAACTTCCAGGATGCTTCACTAAAACCGACCCCTAAAATTGCTTCTATCCACAACCAGAGGAAGGTGCTGCGATGAAAACACAACTTTTGGGCACCTTGCTGCCTAGCAAAGCTGGCAGCCCAGAGTTAGCTGCCTAGATTTGGGTGCAAATGGGGAGAAATTGGCACAGAGGAGCAGCTGCCAACAGAAGCTGGGCAATCACCACACTAACCAACACACAGAAATGTCCCTGCCTAACAGCAAAGGAGGGAAGGGATTTTCTTTTAAAAAATCCCAAACACGAGTCCAGGAAGGAGTTTTGTAGCCAGCTCTTGCACGTGAAGGCAGTTCTAGGTGCTACAGCCAAGAGCCAGGGACCTAACTGACCCTACTCTTCTCAGCAATTCCCCATTGACTACATCAGGCAGGTAGGACTTGCAGACCTCCTCTTTGGGGGCTCTCCACATCCTCCCTAGCAGGGATGGACAGCTGGGGGGAGCAAAACCTATTGATGCGAGCTTGGACTTTTGTGGTTTCAGCCCCTACAAAAGTGTATAAATCTATGGGTTATGTGCAACAGAGCGTGTGCTCGAGGATCTAAATTTTATACCCAAGTCCCTGAAACGTGCAGTGCAGGATTTCAGTCCCTTCCTCTGTATACAGCCTGACACGAGACAACGCAACCACAGGCTGCCTACCCGGCATGGAACAGACATTACAGCATATGACATCACTGGAATTAGTGACCGGCCCGCATTGCTACTGGAGTCTCTTCTCTTTCCATTATGCACTATTGTCCCCAGAAGTCTTCGGTTTCCTTCCTCCGCCACGCCGAGGGTGCAGCAGCGCAGCACCCTACCTCTCCCTCCTGGTTTGCAGAGGTGAGCTGGCAGCACTCCAGAGCCTGGCAGGCAGGAGCTGCCAGCTGGCCGTCTTAATTGTACCCTGATAAGGCTTCTCTGATAGACTCATTCCTGTGATACAGTTGCACGTGGCAACTCTATTACAGAACTGCTTACCCCTTTTTTTTTTTTTTTTTCCTCCAAGTCATTAAATGCCACCCCGGTAACGTTTGTGCACAGCACAGTGGAACGGATATCACAACACATTACACTGACTTCTTTCAATCAGCTTTTAATTTATGAGCATTTTTACTCCTCAGATCTGCTTTCAACGTTTGCTTTGCCTCAGTTCTTGCTTTGCTCTGCCTCAGCTCTTACAAGCCAAGTTATCAGCAGCTTTCAGATGCATTAAAGGAAGGTACTGAAAACTGCTCCGGTAGTCACATTTTCCAAAAATCTCAGCTTTCGGGTAACAAAAGGTTCCCAGAGTAAGAAGGCAGCTGCAAACACAAGTCTAATGTGACCAGCAGCCTCGTAGCAGAATGCAGAGGCAAGCCACCAACCTTCATCCCCAGTACTGCCTCCGATGGAAGTATTTCAGGTCACGCTCAACATCATCTCTCTGAGCAGCGATAACTGCAATGGCTGAAATAAAGAGCAGAAGGGGAGTGAACCACCAAGGAGAACTGAAAGTTTCCTCTGTCTCTCCCCACCTGTAACGAAAAGTTTTCAGGAAGCAAAGCAAGCAGAACAATGTTCAGTAAGAGAGAGAAGTTTTATTGACATGGTTAAAGCAGCATCTATTCCCACTTGTCAGAGGGGACTGACTTTGGAGATCCACTAGAAACCAGACAGATACATTGGGATCCCAACCAAGAACTTTCTGTCCCTGCTGCTGGGGTTAGCAAGATAAACTAATTATCAAGCCGAGACTATATGCTAGCATACAAACCTCAACAGGCGGCAGCAGCAAAGCGGGACAGGTCAGCATCACTGACAGGCTCACGGCTTTCCAGAGGTAAAAGCCCTTCTAGATATGTCACCCTATAGCTGGAAGATTACTACATGGCTCCAGTTTTGAGGTTTCTGCTAAAATCCCGTATTTCATCACTCCTAGGGAAATCTGCTAGAACTGGAAAAGAAATAAGGCTGGAGGAGCAGAGGCAGGGCTCAGCCTACCCGGAAGCTGCTGTTGCCACAAGCAACGCAAGCCTTGTGCAGCAAGGACCCAGCTGAGGGAAATGAGGTGCTGGGGAGAGCTCAGGACTCACCTCGGGAGCACTGAGGGGCAGGCACAGCAGCGGGACCACCTCCCAGGGATGGAAGAGCTGCTAAGCTGGGTCAGACCAATAGTCCGTCTAAGCCCAGGAATCAGTTTCCAGCACAGGATGAGGACAGAGGGGGTTGCGGCCAGGGCAAGCGAGCAGCCACACAACGCTCTCCCAGCCTCTAGCAGTTCACAGCTCAGGGATCTTCTGAGCCAATTGTGTTTACCAGCCCTTACAAAAAACATTTTTTCCTTGTGCATACGGCTGGGTTTTCAACCTGTGTAAGCTTCTAGCATCCACCGTACCCTGCAGGAAGGAGTTTCACAGCTACCTACATCTTTGGTGCGTTTGATGGGTCCTAGGGCTTTTTTGTTTTGCTTAGTGGAAAACAGCTAGCAGTTGTTCCCTGCCCGTCTTCTCCATGTCACTCAAAATTTTACACGCTGTTGTATCACTCCTTTCCCCCGGCCTCTTTTCCAAGCTTAAAGAGGCCATGACTCTAGCTGTTCATCTCACAGAAACCATTCTGTAAATTTGGATGTACTTCTCCTCCTCTGAACATTTCCCAGTTTTTCAATCCTTACTCAGATGGAGAACATTAGAAACGCAGTATTGAAGAAGTACATGCACTGTCATTTTATACAGGGAGATAACAATATTCTCCATTTTGCTGTCTAATAATTGCTTTCCTAATAGTACCTAGCATTTATTTAGTTTTTCTGAAAGACCCCAGAAAACTTCCTTCAGGTCCTGTATGTCAGACAATACAGAGACCTCACCACACAAGCCTGGAGTGAGACGGATGCATGCAGAGGCTCCTCCCTGCCCTAATTCACCGGGAAGCGTGGGGAAAAAGTAATTTTCAACTATAAGGATATTTGGTTAATAGCTATTCAACACAAAAACACAAAGTCAAAAACCCCCAAACCCAGAGTTATAACAAATTAAACACACAAATACATAAGCCCAAAAAAGCAGAAGATAACAGAGGCTGTAACAAAGACCAGGACTCCTGAGACACTGACAGATTGAACCATTACAGGAACCACTCGAGCACAACCTTGAAGAGCTTCAGCCAGAAACTTCACAACTGACAAGAAAGCAAAATTACCGTAGGCTTTATGGGAAAGAGCAAATTTATTATAGGATGTTTGAGGGGAATTGTGGGACTGCGTGAAGTTTATCATGCAATGTTTTAAGGACGATTACAGGAGGAAAACTCACTACGGGATGTTTAGGGGAAGGATTGAAGGAGGGGAAAGGAAGGCATCAAGCTAGATCAGGGAGAAGTGAGCACGGGAAATAGGGAGGAGGAATAAATAGAAGGGGCCAGTCACATGGAGACTGGCTGCTGGTCAGTGTGCTTGTCTGGCTGAGCCCTGCACCTGATTACCACCATCTGTCCCGGCCTCATATTAAACTAATCCTAGCCATTTTCTCTGCATGCATGCGCATTCGTGATCCGCTAGCAAACTGCAAGCTGGACTAGCCTGTAAGTAGGAAAAGAGATCTGAGAGCCAGATACCAGACAGACCGCAAGTCTGAGGACCAGCTACCAGAGATCCACGAAAGTGCGTGCAGACGATCCACTAGCACGCTCCAGGTTTGATGGGCCAGCGAATAAGAACAGGATGTTTTGCAAGTGCAGTTTGTGTCTTCCTGGCACCCGCCACAGCACTTTTCTCCAGTTTCTGCTAATCAGTCTGCATCTGGTTGCATCTATAGCGTGTGTGTGTGCATGTGTCTGAGGGATTTTCTGGAGTTCCTGCTCAGCCTCACTACTTGCTGAACCTGGTGACGTGGGAAAGCAGCAGCCTCACACGTAGCAGACCAGGACAGAAACGACTCCCTAGATCCCACAGCCCACTGCATTCAGCTGTCCTTAACACAAGACACTGGAATAGCACATCAAGTTCTCTCACGAACCCAAAGCTTGGTGAGGAAAACAAATCAAGGAAAACCTCATGTGAGCTGAGCTAGCAAGACAATTACAGAAACAGGAATTATGCCTCAGGTCTGTTACACACCCAACTCCACACACACTGCAGTGGAACAGAAGCCAGAGAGCGCTCTTGGTAGAAAGCTTATTAATAAGTTGTCTCTAGAAAAAGATTTATTTATCAGAGAGCAGACCCAAAGAAGAGAATATCAACTCACACTGACAAGGGAAAGGGACCTGGCACGACGTTTAAATAGAAACAGCCCAGACCACTGCTTGTTATGTCTCAAGGAGAAGCAACCGCATCTAGGTGAACAAAAAGGCAAAAAGAAAGAACATGATTGTACAGCTCCAGGACCAGCAGCAATCCCTGCTGCAGTCTGGGAGGCCGAGAATCAAGAGACTGCTGGAGACCAGCGCAAGAGTAAAATGGGGACAATCACAACAGTGAACTGGACCAGCACGCAGCGACAACAGGGAACTAGGGACCAGCACAGGACCACTGGCCTAGGAGCTCCAGCCCTGCCCTGGCAAAGCACTCTGCTGACAGGCACCACAGAATACAACCTTCATCCAGGCAGCTAGGATTTCAGCTCCTACTGCTTCTTCACAAACATCCATGTTGCAGAGCCTAAGAACAGACTCTAGAAATGCCAGAGCATCAGAGGGGAGTGGAAGTGGTTTCTGTTGCAGAGCAGTAAGGGGACACGGCAGAATTCTGCATTCCATGTTCAAGGGAAAAGGACAAGACTTAAGCAAGAGTATAAAACTTTTAATGGGTCAGTGCATCAGTCCTTGATGCAGAGGGAAAGGAGCAAACGGGGCTATAGCTGTCCCAGGCGCTCAGTGCTGCAGAGATTATCTGCACAGAGCAGGAAAAACAAGGTGGTACGCACATAGCTGCAGCAGCCTCCACCCTTTGCTCTCCAAGGAGGAGGCCAACACCTGGAAATGCAGTTCCTCTCACTGTCCATTCAATTTCACTCTATGCTTCTTCCTGGTAGGGACTTGAGGGCGCATCATTTTGGGAGAAGGCCGGCCAGCCTTCAAGGGTCTCCTCTGTGCCTGCAATGAATGTTTCTTCTTCAAAGCAGGCTGTGGCGGCTTCTGCTCTTTGTCAACTTTTGATACCTCAAGTTTCTTCTTTTTTGGCTGGGGCTCCATGATGGTATCAGGAACAGTGGATGGAGTTGCTGCTTCCACAGCAGATTCTTCATCTGAAACAAGAGAGGAAGGTGCTGTAAGAAGAACCCGCATGGCTTCTGCAGGGGAAGCAGTCTGTGAGAGCAGGGCCAGGCAGCTCAGCTGAGCTCCAGCACTAGGGTACCTTTTTGCGCCTGAGGGATAGCATTAGAGAATTTCTTGAACTTGGCAATGAAGAACCCATCCATATTGTGCGTGTGGGGATAGAAACGCCGCGTAGACTTGAGGGAAGGGTGGAAGCGACGGTCCTTGAACCTGGAGAAGGAAGTGTGGTGAGAAGCGATAGAATGCCTCTGCTCAAACCTGGCCACCAAGGAAGAGTCACCTGTGCAGCTTGTGACCTGGCACACACCTAGTGAAGCCTTCCTTGCCAAAGTCCAGGCCTGTGGCTACCAAACGAACGTTGCGTTTCTTCAGGGCATAATCCACAACCCACTCGTTCTCCTCCACCTGCCAGAGACTAAGCATTAGGATCCAAAGCTCACCAGTCCCCTGAGTAGGAGATGACCACAGCAGAGCGTGGAAGGGACTTACCATGATGGAGCAAGTGCAGTAGACAATGTAGCCCCCTGTCTCTGAGGCAGCATTGACTGAATCTATAGCACTAAGAATCAGCTCCTTCTGCAGGTGAGCGCAGCGCAGGATGTCTTTCTCATCCTGAAAGAGAAAGAAAGGTTAGGATACCAGAGGCACAGGGAAGCACCCCAGGCCTCTATTATGGATGGAGGGATGACAGGAGAGCAAAGCACGTATGATATAGAAGATTCTGGGGTCTTCTGCAGAATTAACCTCAAAAAACCTAGCTCTAGTACAACACGCAGGATAGAAAAGAGAAGGAAAACTCAGTGTCCCTATTGCAGGCATCACTCAAGAACAAAGCTGCCCCAAAGTCCTTCCTCTCATGACTCATACTTGAGTCCCCATCTTGTGTCCCCACTGGTCACTCACCTTGTTGGTTTTGACAGCAGGATCCTTGGAAATGACACCTGTTCCGCTACAAGGAGCATCAAGCAAGACACGATCAAACCCTCCAAGCACCTGCAGGCAGATGTACATTTCGAATTATGCTCACAGGTGGGGACTCAGAATGAGACCAAGACTAGAAGGGGAACCAGAAGCCTGGGAAGGCAGGAAAGGTCCTTCACTCCTCCCTGTCCACCTTCTTGTTTCCATATTAAATAACACACACGCTCCCCAGCAGCTCTGCTCATCCTATGACAAGTGGCTTTAGAGAACACAGCTTTACTAAAGGGACAGCACAGCAGCTCTAGGTAAGCATGGTAAGGACACCCCAAAGCAGGCAGGAACATACCTTGGGGAACTGGCGTCCATCGCAGTTACTCACTACAGCATTGGTGACTCCCAGCCGATGCAAGTTCCCTACCACGCTACGTAGCCGCTCGGCGTTGCTGTCATTGGCCAAGATCATACCTGTGTTCTTCATAAGCTGAGCTGCCGGAGGGCAACACACATCAGCAAGGGGCTGAAAACCTCTGCGCTTCTGCCCACAGAGACAGCCACCCCCCCCTCCTTTCCCCAAGTTCAGTTCCCCTTTGTTCCCCCTTTCTGTATAGACCACTGGAAAGTCATCATTTCACAGAGCAACCCCTCCCAAGCCTCCCACCCAAGGCTCCAGGGCAGTACCTATGTAGCTGGTCTTGCCTCCTGGGGCACAGCACATATCCAGGATGCGTTCATTCTCCTGTGGAGCCAGAGCCATGACAGGGAGGAGACTGGAGGCTCCTTGCAGCATGTAGTGCCCAGCCAGATACTCTGGGGTGGCACCTGGGCAGGGAAGGCAGAACAAAAAAAGATGACACGTGAAAGAAAGGGAGCCAAGAGAGGATCAACTCAGCCCTACGACAGGAAGAGTGATCTCACCGATGGGCACTGAGGAATCATAAATAACAAGTCCTGTTTTCGACCACTTCCCCAAGGGGTCGAGATTCACGCCACGGTTGATTAGAGCCTGCAAGACAAGGAGATGGGACTGAGACACCACCCCCTGTGACAGGCAGCAGAGGAGACATCCACAGGTTCCTGCTCACCTGCGCCAGGTCCCGTCGCCGCGTCTTGAGTGTGTTGGTGCGAATGGTCACAGGGCGGGGAACCTCATTGGCTTCCAGGAAGTTTATCAGCTGGATGAAAGAAGGGACAGAGAACAGAGATAAAAACGAAGACCCGGGGAGGCAGCCAAATCCGGGGAGGCAGCCAAATTCTCATCAGTCAGCAAAGATACAGGCAGGGCAGGATCCTACCTCAGGGAGTGGGAAGATGTCCATGAGCTTCACGAGCAAGAAGTCACTATAGGAATAGTAGGCAGCCATGTCCCGGCGCAACAATGCAAGGTACTCCTGTCGCGTGCGTCCCTCCTCCCGCTTCACCACAAAGTCCTGCAGCACCTCCATGTTGCCCTTGATGCGCTGGTGAATGATGTGCAGGTCAGGCGGCTCAGCAGGTAGAAAGACCATTAAGGAATCATAAACAGCCAAGAAACTCGCACACAGGCTCTTTACAAGCACCATCGGTCATGCAGGACTCCTGCATCACAACAGCACCCGCACCAGAAAGGCCTTGTTGGAATACGCTTTCATCAGAGCTCAGCAGAAAGGGGATTCAAAGGATAGAACTGGACAAAAAAGTTCACAAGGCAGGAACTACAAAGTATTTAAAAGAATTTGAGTAGTTACTTTAAATAGACAGAAAAAAATAGGAAAGACAGCAGAAAAAAAGTCTTTTAATACTGAAAACATTACCCGTACAGAAAGGAGACTAGAAGTTCCCCAAGGGCAACTAAGGGGTACAGAAGAGAATGAGAAGAGGCAGGACTAAAATGTATTGGGGGTAGGAAATGAAAATCACCAAAGCCCAAGAGCAAGCACTTTGGAGGCTGGAATTGCTGTCATCAGAGGCTCTAGCAAGGGGTTAGACAAACACCTGCCAGGAAAATCAGGGTGCAGAGGAATGAACTACGTGATAAGATATCCACGTGCATTTAGAACTAGAAAGGAAATTGGGGCAGGCTCCAAGCTCTGTTACAGGGAGTAACAGATTTCCTAACTATGCTGTACAGAAGCGCAGCATTGTATACTGTCTATTAGGGCAGCTCATCTAAAAATACCCTGTCATGCACAAAATGCTTTTACTAAGCAATACTCATGATAAAGTCCAAATGAAGCTCTTTGGTTGTATCCCCCCGTGCTGCTGCACACATATGGCTTATGGATGTCACAAATAAAAAGGATATTCTCTCTCTCAATCTGTTCATTAGTTGGCAGTTTAAATTGCTCATCTATATCCAGGTTGAGCTGCAGATCCGGGCTCTCTTCCTCCTTCTGCCCTGTTTTCTGCCTGCTTGCCTCCTCTACCGCCTCCTCTGTCTCCTCCTCCTCCTCCTCTTCACTGTCATCTTCACTGAGGCCTGCCCTAAGGACAAAGAACAGGACGGATGTTTTACAAAAGAACAGAATCACACAGGCACTTCACAACTACCATTTCTTAGATGGCAGAGAGGACAGAAGAATGAACGCCACAGGCTCCTCATCTAACCAGAAAAGACTCTGCAGACTGTTGATGTTCTCAAATCCTCACCTGTCAGACTTCCGCTTCAGGGCAGCTTTTTCAATGGGCAGCAACTAAACAGAGACAGAACATTAATGAAGCAATATCCCCAGGTGCCCCCTTACTTCCCACCATCTGTGAAATTTATCTGCTCTGTTTAAAAAGGACAACAAATAAAAGCACTGAATGTTATGCTGGGATCAGCTGCTAAACTTGAAATTGTTCTTGTGAAAGGAAGAAGGTGAAAGCTCTCTGCCACCTCACCATCCACCCCCCAGAAAGTCACCCTTTTTCCCCAGACCTGATGGGTCCTTTCAGACAGCAAAGTCAAGTATTTCTTGCATAATTAAGGGCAAAAAGCTCCTACCTCTTCTTCCTCTGATGATGAAGCACCGTAATCATCTACCATCTCCTCGCTGCTCCCATCCTCGTCCTCCATCTCCCAGTTGCCCTCTTCCACCTCACCATCGCTGGATAACTCCACATTGTTTCCTTTAGATGAGGCTTTCTTGGCTTTGGCTGGAGCCAGCCATTTTGAATTGCCATCACTGAAGCCAGATCGGCCATGGGGAGTTTGTCCTGCTACCTTTACGGCATGTTTCTCCTTCTGTGGGGAAACCTGCTCTTTAACTACAGGCAGAAAAAGCAATTAAAAGTTAGGCATTATTCTCAAAAGCAGCTGCCCTGTTTTTTCAGTTGTTATACAAAACAGGCCTTCATCCTCGTCCTGAGCTGCCTGTCCAAGAGAAGGGACTGCTTGCTCTCCACATCAGTTTTCTCAATCATAAACAAGGGTGTATTCTCACCTCTCCCCCACTGAAACTTCAAAGAGATCTAACTAGAATTACCAAAGAAAAACACAGCTACAAAATTCTCATGGTATTTGCTCTGACAGATTACCATACCCTCCTTCACAAGTCTTTGTCTATCCTTCCTTCTTCCTACTGCGACAGCTTCCTAGGCGACACAGGACGTAGCGCAGCGAGCTTAAAAGCCTCCGCCACCCGACCTGCCTGCGATAACCTCGCTGTGAAGGGAGGATAAGTCAGAAGTGGCTTTAACACGCGGAAGAGACCTTTTACTGGCTTGTTCTTTAGACAGCGCTGCCGCCTGGCTCAGCAGGGACCAGAAATCAGGACAAATTCCTTTAAAATAATGACGTTCCCACTGTCCCGTGCCATAAAATAGAGGCCGGAGCCGGGCAGTGGCGGGCGGGGGACCCCGGGGGGCAGCAGGACAGGGCGGCTGCCGGC